CATAGTAACTCTTCCCAAGCATGAACAGTTTTCAAATTGTGCTTCAGTCTTTGTACCTGGTTACAATAACCCTAAAAGCAGAAAAAAACCCCAAACCAACCAACCAACCTTTTTACCATATTTTCTATACAAATACCAGTGAAAGCTGTAGACGTGCAAGATGCATACCAGCTTCCATCTGTTAAAAAGTAAGGAAAAAACCTGATAATTAGTTCCTTCAAACTTTAAGATAAGCCCCTCTGGGAAAACCTATTTTTGTGCTGATTATTTTTCTAACGTGCACTTGAACAAGGCTCAGACAATAGGGCATTCTCTCCAGCTGCAGAAAAATAAGCCTTTCTGTCAAAATAGAATAAATAAGCATATACTTACTTTAAAAAGACCATATACCATTTCTTTGAATTTCTCAACAGTGGTTCCTCTTGTTGGTTTATCAAATAGGACTATTTCCTTCCTTGGTTCTGGGTCAGTATCAAAATCAAGTTGAGCAGCTTCTTCCATCTGGCATTTTATAACACCTTGCAGATTTCCCCAGATTCCTAAATACATCTATACAGGAAAAGAAGGAAAAGGGTAAAAAAACACTGTAGAAGTCCATCATCTAAAGACCACCTGCTTCAAGAGTCAAGTAGCAACACAGATTAGAAAACCGAGTCCTGCGTACAGACAATGCACAGAGCACATTCAAACAATGACAACTTCAAATACAATACACTACTGCAGGTACTTAGGAGACACTACACTGTCAAAATACAAAGGCAGCTGGATGAACAGTATATTGGCATTACTACCATCTTTGCGTAGGTTGTTAAGAGGCTGCTGCTTCTATTTGGGAAGCAGGAAAGCAGAGAAGTAGCATGCTGTACAAAAGCATAGGTATTCTGTCAAAATGTGGAAGGATCCAGTATATTATATATATGTTTATAAAGTGTATGTATTATAAAATAATAATATACCCTCTACATATAGGAATAATATATAATATTATATGCAGGTATATTATATATAGGTGTGTACTGTGTATATTATTAATAATATATGGTATACCTATACATCCTCTCTATATAGCTATATTATATACATCGATATAAACATCCTCTGCATGTCACAGCAAATAGAGTTTGAAATAATCTGTATCAAACAGATACAGCTTGCTGACACTAAGGTCTACTTGATGTTCTAGAGAATGACATTTCAGTGGGAAATAATAAAACTAGGTTGGATGAGTAAAGCCTTACCTGGTTATTGGGCTTTGTTGACAAACATTTTCCAAAATACAATGTTTCTTTAGCACAAAGACTGCTACATGCTGACCCATCAATAACTCCGGTCTTGTATTTATCACACTGAAACAAACAGGGAGAAAAATATTTAACAAATTGCCCGAGAAAGGAGGCAACAACTGCATCTCTCCCAACACCTGACTCTTAAAAGAAAAATCTAAGAAAACAATTTTAATAACCCTATACCAAAACAATGGTTTTATCTGTAATTGAAGATGTAATCTTACTTCAACCTGATGGAATATCAGAATTTGATTAACTTACATGTGGCACTGACTGAATTGGCTGTGGAATTAGTCAGGACAAACACTTAAGAAAGCTATGCTGAATATACTTACTATTATTTTCCTACAGTCATGTCCTCTGCATAGTTCTGTGTAGGTGGAGTACTGAACATACATAACCCAGCTGCCGATAAATACTACTAACCAAGAGATGAAGAGATACTTCATCCGCATATAGGAGAAACGTACCTAGAAGACACAAAGAGAAAATATTCTTTGGAATTCATTCAGCAGTAGTCAAAATGATAGAAACAAACACAATTTACTATTTCACCTTTAAGAATGTGACTTCTGCAGTGATAAAATAAGCAAGACTGCATTACATGGAACATTCGCTTCCTTCAGTGAGCAAAACTGGCAGGGAAGAAGGTCAGTCTGACTTATGTAGGTAGAAGGAAAATTAAGATATAAATAAATAAAATAAAACAAAACATGACAGACCCTCATAGGACAAGCCAGGCTGCAAGAACCAATTTGATCAAAATCATAAACTCTCAGAGCTCAACTGCTTGCATCTTTCTCAAAGACCAGTTACTTACGTTCCACTCCTGGTAAACCAAATCCAACAGATCAGGAATCTGGTCAAAAGATAATCTGTGCTAATGTATAAAGATGCAAGATAGATATAGAATGACCAGGGTGGGTATCAGGGACAGGTTCCATGTGCTGAAGTCTCCCACTCCTTTCTTGAAATGACACCATTTAATTATGCAAGTAAAATTCCTCTGTACTAGCCTCACCTTCAGTGGTCTTTCCCATAACCGTATGCAAGACTTTCCTGTTGTTTCTGTGGCCTCACATTTACACTTTTTCACTAGGGATAGAGGAAAAAAGTATTTATAAATTAAGAATTGAGGGAGAGCTAAGTGCCTTCTAAGGGAGGAGGCACGTTTTGATCTTTTTCTTGTTCCTCCTCCGAGTCTGGTGTGCTAATGGTTTGATTTTCATACTCACATCAGGATTAGAAAAGAATTAGAAAGTCAGAATCAGCTTTAGCAACAGGATATAAGGAAAGTGCATGAGAGCAGCTGTATTGGGTCAGTATGAGATCCATTTCTACTAGTATCCTGATCTTCAGCAGCAACAACTATAAATAGATGCCATCAAAGAGTGAGAACATATAATACATATCCCAAATGTGCTCCCATTTTCCTCCAGAAGAACTTGCTAAGCCAGACGCGATTTTCTGTATTTAGTAAAGCTCAAACCATCTATCTTTCATGAACTTACCCAGACTCCTTAAAATCCACATGAGCTTTTAGCATCCACAAAACCCTTCAGCAATTAATTCCACAGGCCTACTATCCACTGTACCGGGGCCAGGGACCGGACTTTATTTTGCTTAAATCTGGTTCATATTAGCTTTGTTTGAGATCCCCTAGTTAATGTATTGGAAGAGATGAGTTATCAATTTCTGTCTATTCTCTCCACATCTGTCATGATTCTGTAAGCCTCCCTGCCATGTCATCTTTTTTCCACATTGACAGGTCCTAACTTAGCTGTTCCTCACAGAGAAACCATTCCATATGTTTGGAAAAAGTTCCAAGAAAGGTAGTAATGATGAGCAGTTTTGCTGTCACATACATACATAAATACATACCAAGTTAACCCATCTCACACATACTAACTTCAGATGGCTCCATCTGCATGGGAGAAAAAGCACTGAAATAATTCCAAAGGACTACAATTTGATAGTAATTATCTTAAATCACAGTAAATTGAATACATGGCTTCAGCTTTTAAGTATTTTATGTTTTAGAAAAAAATGTTACTAGAGAAAATAATCTTCTAAAAATATAGGAAGATCTTCAAAGATGCATTTCCCTTTCTAAATATGCAATTTATTTATTTTTAAGGGAAGATCAAAGAAGCAGTTCTAAACCAACCTACCATTCAACTGTTTAACACCTATCACAAGAACTGCCTTTTTCAGACCTTAACAAAAGAAGTATAATCCCTAGGTATAGGTGTTCTACTCTCAACCTAGAATGGTTCTGACTCTTCCACCATAACTCATCCCGTGATTCAGGGTATACTTTCACACAGACACTCACTCCATCCAAAGACTAAAGAGGAAGCGTATCTTGACCCCATACAGTTCTGTAAGGAACATCAAGTCCACAGAAAAACTGCTAGGAAAGATGATGGTATATGGCTCAGCCCTTAATTTTATATCCTATTTTCATTCCATTTTATAGCGTAACGATTTTAAAAAATAAACGGGGGAAGGTGCACGCAAGGTATTTTAACACTTTCAAACATAGCAGAGCAGTCCCAAATTCAATATGACTCATTCTATGAGAAAGACTGAGAACCTTTTAGCTATATTTTGAGATAAGTGGGTAGACACCCGTTATGCCCAAACGACCCTAAGACACAATGCTGCCAAAGTCGAAGGCCTTAGTCCAAGGAAATCTTAATCCTCACCCCCCACCCCAACAAAACCACCAAAAAGCCCAAATTGAATAACGCAAGAAGTTAACCCAACAAGTTACACAGAAAAGCAGGAGCATGCCGGTATGGCCTTTAAACAGTTCTAGCACAAATATTTCTCATGATGCTTTATGTCCCTTCAAACCATGTAGTACCATGAAATTCCACATCAAAATAGTGTTTGTGGTTCCAAGATGCTAATAAATACATATCCACAATCTCTTCAAGAATGTAAATTTAGATACAAAATGGGTGAACACTTCTGAGGACAAGCAGAAGCAGATCAACCCACCCAAGGCCTTACAGGTAATGACTCATACCTAAATCTAGATCTCGAAAGTCACAGTCCACTGCTCTAACCACAATTTCATACTTCTGCCCTTCTACAGTAGAACAAAAATATTTTGTGATCTACTGAAGCTAGTTCAAATCTGCACATTCTTTACCTTGCTCAGCACAAGAATTCAAAGCTTCAGTAAAAAATTAGGAATATCATTAAAGTTTATTTGGGAACAACCTTAAACTTCAGACATCTTACTGAAGTAAATGAGAATTGTAACATGCTTGTATAAAAGTTTAACACAAGAGGCCTGACTTCAAAGTGGATGTTTTCTTTCCATAGGATCATATACACACACTTGTCCACTTTATCATCTCAAAACTTCTTTCCTTGCTTCAAGACTAGTTGAGTAAATATTGTAGTTACAGCCCAGCATCTGGATATTTAAGAAAGTTATTTCTATTTTCTTTAATATACTAACCTATAATTTTCTGTATTTCAGCTGAAATATCACAAGATGATCTGGTCATACAGCCACAGGAACTTCACTGGTAAGCAAACAGTTATAGTCAAAAACTCATTAGTGTCATATTCTAAATTTTTCTGCTTTTGAAAAACGGAACTGAAACAAAACAATCACATCTTTGGACTTGCTTAGACTGCAATTTCACTATACAAATTGTTCAGTACAGTACAAATTGCTTTGCCCCTGCTTCTTCACATCTCTACACTGAAGCCCACTTTTGTTGTAATTACACCCAAACAACTGTTTGTGAGTCTATACCACAGATGAAATCAGGGAGTTGACCTGATTCACAGTACAAGCCTGCAAATAGTTGTATCAGCGCAACTGCAGGATAGTGCACCTTGGCAAAACCAGTAGAAATATTCTGAAGTAATTTTACTAACAATGTTTTAAACTTATATGCCTTATTTTTAAGTTTTGTTCCTCCACTGCCAGTGCTGCAAGTGAAGCCAGTTTAAAGAAGACCATGTACTGCAAGCAATTTTTTTTAACCACTCATGTTTTAAATTGTTGAAGAGAGCAAAATGAATATTCCTTTCTGTGATATACATAGCATATTAATGTACCAAAAAGTCACTTAAAAACCAAATCATTGTACTCACCCACAGTAAACCATGTTTATAGAATCCTTGGTCTTCTCTAACCATCCATGAATAAGACTAAATATTAAGGTTTATCATTAAATAACGTAAAGGTTTTGTTTATGCTGTCTAAGAAGTACTATCAGAATTTTGAAAGGCTGATAGTGGCAGTGTAGATGTCTAATAGTTTAATGAAACTACACATCTTTAATATAAATACAGGTTAAGAGGAACACAGAATACAAACACCCAAATCCACACTTACTAAAAAAAAAATTACTTTCAAAGATTTGGGCCACTTTAATAAATGAAATGCTTGAGCACCCTCTTATTTGTATGTAACTAGAGAAGGAAAGGTAGGAAAGAGCTGTACAGGAACATAGGATTGTCATGCTAGACTACATCAATAGTCCACCAATAAAGATGCTTTGAAGAAAAAACAAACAAACAAAACCATCAAGGAATCAGCAATGCAAATTTAGAAACCAAATAATCAAATATTTCATCACAAGTTGTTGATTTAGATCATGTTTTCTTCAAAATAAAAAACTTTCTTAACCACTACTGACTGAAAGCTCATCATATACATCATTATTTGCTGCTAGAAGTCTCTGACAGACACACCTAGAAGAACTGAACTTTCTGTAACCAGGAGCTTGAAATGGCTCATACCCTTGGTCCCTCCAAATCAGGGCTGAGGTTAGCAAGGGGCCAGTGTTAAACAGATAAATAAATAATTTTATATCTGATTATGTTTAAGCAGAGGATTTCTGTTTCCAGGACAGCTACCTCTTCAACTGATTAAAAATTTCAAACTGTTTTTCAACTTTTATGAAACTAAGCAAATGTTTTATTGTGAAAAATCAAGAGTTAAGCTGAGAAAAATAAAATGGAAAACCTGATACTGCTTCAGAGTGAAGTCTCAGCCACGAGCTGAAAGCTTGGAAAGCTTATGGAGGGAGACCTGGGAGGGGTGGGAAGAAGTGGGTTCCAGAAGATGGCAACAGGATGAACAATATTACCTAGTTTTAAAATGAAGGGAAAACACAGAACTGCAGCAAATGTGAATGTCAGTTGTTTTTTTTTTTAACTGGAAAGACTACAATAATTTATGAGTACTTATAAAAATATAACAAACAACCAGCATGCATTACACCCTTTCCTCTTGGAAGAGCTAATCTGAGAAAGGTCAGTTCCAAAACACCCAAAGGTGATTCCAATCCACACAGCTGCGGTCCCACCGCATGCCTCAGCTGTGCACCCCTATCCCTTCACTCCTTCACAGGCACTCACTTGACTTGATCTTAAAACTACCTAGTTAAAAGAAGAGATAGATACAACTAACTCCTTTTATTCTGGTGA